GGGTTACAATGGAGGAAAAATGTTTGTACGTACTGATTCTATGTGCTAGTTTACGTGTGTCCCAAGTGTTGCTGCTCCTTCTTAGATACTGGAACGCTGGTTCGGACAAATTTCGTCTATGTCTCGGGGCACGATGTGAACTATAAAGAAAGTACAGGAAGACGATGTCTCTTTGGACTATATCTCTCGAGTCTCTCGGCCGTGTTGACACGGTTGTGCTTGCCTGATTGCCTCTCATAACACGGTTACTTAGTTAAGTTGTCGACATGTCCATATATTGGCATCCAACTTTGGTGAAAAAGACCAAGAGAACATCCTTCCCCGTACATATCTGAATCTAAAAGTTTTGAACTGATTAGTATCTTTATTACTGGCAAGTGCGCAAACTAAACATTGTACTCACGCGGCAAGGTACATACTTATGTAACTAGTAACCTTTTTAGGGGGACACGGTTGAGACCTTATTTGTTTAGTTGAGATAGGATCCAAGCTGCACACTCGGTATATAAATTACGCGGTGCGGTACCATCATCAGCGAGTAGTACGTACTATAGTTTACTTTAGGAGTAGAATACATTGTTATACACTATTTTATTTGGTAGCTTTCCAGTTGCAGCAAGCTAGATGCGTTTAGTTTGCCAGCCCCTAGCAACTCCACACCCACGTACCTATATAACGTGAGCCACCCATATGCCATATCAAATCCACAACCAAGCTAGCGAAGTCTATACAAAGGACAAGAAATCGGAGGATCAAACACCATGGGAGCGGGGATGAAGCGCACGAGGAACAAGGAGGTATTGTCTCTGGCGCTGGCACTGACCACGGACTCATCAACGTCGTCCACAACGTCAGCGGACTCGGCCGGGTCACCGGCAAAGAAAGCACGGCGACGCGAGAGGGGCGCCATGGTGGCGACTTCGGGTGAGGGGGAGTTCGTGTGCAATACGTGCGGCCGTGCCTTCGCGTCCTTCCAGGCGCTCGGCGGGCACCGGACGAGCCACCTTCGGGGCCGCCACGAGCTGGAGCTCGGCGTCGGCATCGCCAGGGCCATCAGAGAACGGAGAAGACGGGAGAACAAGCAGCACGAGTGCAGTATCTGCGGCATGGGGTTCGAGACGGGCCAGGCGCTCGGGGGACACATGAGGCGTCACCGCGAGGAGATGGCTCTGCGCGGCGGCGGCGGCGACGACGACCAGTGGGTGTGGCGCAGCGTCGCGCTACTGCCGGGTCAGGTGGTGACGGGGCAGCAGGCCACTGCCAACCAGCCGCCTGTCTTGCTCAAGCTGTTTGTCTAGGTAGCTTGCTGGAAAGAAGGAAGACGATACGTTTTCGTTTCTTCATTGATGCGTGGTGCACTTGTAAATGTGTTTGATTCGAATGAGATATACAGGTTCGCTGTTCGATCTTGTAAACACGAAATTCATACTATACTGGTCCCTCCGTTTCTAAATAAATATAAGACTTTGTAGAGATTTTAATACATTGCTATATATGTATGTGGATGTATTTTAGAGTGTAGATTCACACATTTCGCTTCGTATGTAATCCACATTTGAAATCCCTAAAAAGTCTTATATTTAGGAACTGAGAGAGTATATACTACGCATAGGTAGAGATTGTTAGCGTTTTTGAACATTGGTGAATTTTGCTATGGATCTTTCAGTTTTTGAACCAGCCTTTGGACGGGATTCATCAATTTCGTTGGCGACTCAGAGGAAAATCTGTTTTGCTATTCGTCAGGTACCTGAAATTCTTCCTCGTGCCAGTCACCTCTTTCCTTCCTTCCTTCGTTCCTTCACGCCGGACCTCGCCGGAGAAGAGAACCCCACTATCTATCTTAGGGCGGAGCCATGACCCCATTATCTATCTTAGGGGGTGGGGGTGTAGGGGATCGTCGGAATTGTTTTTGGGTGAGGTGGAGCTTAGAGGGATGGCCGGGGCGGCGGCCAACATGGCGGTGGGGGAGGTAGAGGGGAGGGCGGGGCAGGGAGGAAGAATGGCCGGAGGTAGAAGATGAACAGTGATGTGATATGTTCTCGACCGTTGGATGAAGATTTAAGGGCCCTGGATCAAGGTGACTGATGCAGTTTTTTTCAGTTAATTGATGCGTAGACGGTCCCGAGGAAAATCCGTTTCTTCATTCAACAATTGGATCTCAAAATGTTCTTATCGATCAGTCATCAGATTGCGGTTCGACGAATATGATCGGTGTATGTGGCGTATCGATGCTCCAGGCCGGCAGTGTTCCATTTGCTGCGCCACACGGGTCACCTATATTTCCATAGCTGATACTGACTAGTTAGCACGATCGAAGGCCGCTTGTTTGAACACGTTTACTGTTCGTTCGGACACACACATATTACAAACTTCCCATCTGTGCCTGTTAAACATGCATGGAGGCGAGGTATACCCTAGCGGTGCCGGCCAATAGGACTTCTCTGACCTCCATGCCCATGCAACGCCCACAAGCAATTACTCTTTCTGTCCTATAATATAAGAGCTTTTTGACACTAATGTGATGTCAAAAACGCAGTGTTAAAAATATTTTATATTAAAAACATTTTTATATTATGAAACGGAGGGAGTAGATTATTGCGCTATTTGCTTACGCCTTGACTGGGGCCAGAACCAGATGCTGATGGACCTTCCACTTCAGTTTCGTTCACTGCATCTGACCTGGAGTGCATGTTCCGAGTAGTCTACTTGTGCCCCAAGTGAGCAGTGACAACGCGTATACTACTAGTTAGTTAATTCTTAGATATATGCTGAACTGCAGGTTCGGACAAATTTCATGTATGATCGGATAAGTACAAGAAGTATATCTCTGTCCAACTATCTCTCAAGTATGGACAGTGGACACTAGTGTCCAAACTGGCATCGAAAAGATGAATCTGCCGGTCATGTCCGTGCCCTCGGCATCCAATCTGATCAAAGACGAAGCGACTTGACCCGTGCATATGTGTAAATCTAACGGTTTTGGATTCACTGGATAAGTACCATTACTGGTGGAGAAGCTAGTGCGCAGAGTAGCACTCACACGGTATACAATACTATTTGGTGCAGCACTCAGTTTACTGGGTAAGTTACGCGGTACTGTATGTACGGTGTCATCGAAATCCATTTACTATCTGTCCATCAGCTGAGTAGCCAAGTAGACGGGTAGATACAAAGCTTCAGGTCCTATCTGAGAGGTGTGCGTCGTGCATGTACCGCGACGTACGTCGGTGCTTACGTGCTCTCCCTCCATGAAGAAAGGAACCTTTTCCAAGTACTAATTACACCACACACCATTAAAAAAAGGCAGTGATAGGCGGCCGAACGGTTCCGCCGGTCTACCCCAGCCACCCGATGCGACAAGTGTTGCCGTTGGATTGGGGCTTCAGTTTTTTTTTTCCAAAACCAAATCTAACGAGGCCCGCGGGAAACAGAGCAGCGGCGCCGCCGGCGCTTGCCGTAAACGAGCAAACGACGAACCTCGAAGCCGGTCGGCTCCCGCGTCTTCGCCGGTCGCCTCCCGCCGAATTGCCTCGCCGTCGCCCATCGCCGCTGTCGCCCGTCGCCTTTTGAGCTGTTGGTTGCAGCTCCGCTGCTCACCTGTGCTGCCCATCCCCTCACCTCTCCCTCGCCCCTGCAGAATCAATGGCGACGACGCCCCGTGGTTCACATCCAATAACAACGGTGATAGCAAAAAAAATGTGATGCTTCCAGCAAACACGAAAACGATGATAGCAAAAAAGATGAAAGACCAATTGACGATAGCAGCTTACCCGCCGGCCGGAAAGTAGCAACCAGTGACCAAAAAAGCTTCATATCGCGATGAAAAAAGCTTCATCCGGCGATAAAAAAAAAGCTTCAACCATAGAGCCGAAAGCCATGGATGAGAACAAAAAGTTGCAACCAGCGGTTACAAAAGCTACAACCGGTATTGAAAAAAGCTTCAAGCTTCGTGTCTTAATTGTGACAGATGACGACTCTGACGATGTTTTGCTGCAACCGTCTTCATTTTTTGATACGACCGGCGATGTAATTTGCTGCAACCCTTTTTCATGGCAGCGGGCGCCGGTCGGCAGTAGTCAGGCAGTCCCCTAACTCGGCGAGTAGTCGGGCAGTCCCCCGGCTCGGCGGAGCACACGGACGGCAGCACCCACCGGCCGAAGGCAGCACCCACCGGCCAAAGGCAGCGTGGGGGAAAGGAAAAGAAGAAGCACGGCGCGGAGAGAGATGGGGCTGAAGGTAGAAGAAAGGATAAGAATAAGATTCGGGGCAGTTGTGTGAGGCCCACCTACACACGTCTTGTGTGGGGGGTGTTTCCGTTGACGTGGCCCTCGAGACCGGCCGAAAATTCGGCCGGCGTGCCGTCCCGAAGAGTTTTCCTTAAGAAAAAGTGATTAAACGTCCAAAGCAGCACCTAATCAGTCTCGTGTAGCTTTGTGCACATGCATGCAGATCCATTACAAAATCCCAACCCAAATCCCAGTGCTACTTCTGCAAGGTTGGTCGGCCATACGCAGACTGCTCCCTGGTGCAGCCCCGCAAGAAACTGCGACGTTGTTGCACATACACCGTCAGGTCAGGTGCATTACACATCTCGAGAGTGACGTGCTAGGCAATTTCCTCTCGTTCCATTGACGGACTCCGTCTCCAAAGCATAAGCTTCGATCAAGATTAAGAAGATATTTTAACCTTTTAAGTGTGTGTGGGCGACAGAGATGCTTCGATCGACGCGCATGATCGAATCTGAGGTGCTTAAGTAGATTAATCGGTCATCAAGCAAGATTGTCTTGGCCAACAAGACTTGCGTTTGTCACCTACTGCCAGCAAGTGTGAGCGGTAGAGGTATTCATACATTTTTCTTAGAGGTATCCACTTGCTTTCTAGACGATAGGGTTGTTGACTCGTGGCGGTTAAGAGTTGACCAATGACCAAAGACAGGTTTGTGTGGATTCATATGTGCTGGGTCGATCAAGCTCCCACATGTAGTCGCGCATGCACGCATCGCGTGGTATGCAATCGTGACCATGTGGTGGTTTGTGTTTACTTATTCTCTGGAAGTCGCGCGCTTAAGCACCCATCGGCCTGTCACGTGTGGACGCGTAACACTCGTATTTCGCAGCTCGCCAAGCGGTAGTTCTAGTGGCAGTTAAGCACGCACGCATTTGACCACCGCCGAGCTTCCAACGTGTAAACGGTACGATGCTTATGGCCGGGAAGGATCCATTGATGGATGTAAACGGTACGTGCTTATGCAATCGTGACCCCAAGATGGCCTCCAAACCCAGACCAAAATGATGCTGACCGATCTGTCCAAGGGTTTAGCTTTTGTTTCTTCGCTCTGGAAGCCGGCCCCTTGCATGCAGTACGGGCGCGTCACCTGACCTACATGTGCTAATCTGGCTTACCTCATGTCCCAAGCGACGTTGCTCCAAGTTGGTTATTGGATAGTACTGGCCAGCTGATTCGCACAAGTTTCGTCCATGCATTATGCAGGTTTGGATAAAGACAAGGTGCAATAATTGACACGGTTATTCCTATTCAAACTGAAGCCAATCAATTGGAGAGGCATGAACCTTCAGGTTAACGACCAAGTCTTCACCATGCATGCATGTATATATATCTGAGGTAGGCCCTGTTTGGTTCATAAATTTTAGGACTTTTTTTAATCTCAACTTATAAGTTCCAAGTCTCTAAAAAGTCCCTATATGTTTGGTTCTCGAGACTTATAAGTCTCTATAAGGCCATATTATAACCATAAATCCCTATAAGTCCCTCCTTGAGAGTCTTATCCCATAAGTCCCAAATGCCCACTTTAAGTCCCTATAAGTCCCTCCTGTTTGGTTTAGATGGGACTTATAGGGACTTATTTAAGTCCCTAGACCAATAAGTCCCTGGAAACAAACACCCTCTGAAGCTAGCAGTTTCGGACTGATTAGATATTGAGTAGCTTTTCCAGGCAAGTACGCAAACCATGTACTCACGCGGCAAGGTGTAATTCCAAGCATGCCAAGCACCCAAGCTACCGCGCCGTAAACCTATATATATATAACTAGGCCGCCCCGCCGATCAACATTCCTTCTCGCGTCTTCTCTCACAGGGCAGCAAGTTTAGCTGTGGGAGCCTAAGAAGGACGGGAAATCGAGGGATCAAAGTCCACAAACGACTCCATGGGAGCTGGGATGAAGCATGCGAGGGAGGAGGAGCCAACCGTGTCGCTAGCGCTGTCCCTCAGCACAGACTCGGCGTCTTCCGACTCGGGCGGCGGTGCGCTGGCCAAGCGCAGGAAGGGCGCCGTGGTGGCGACGTCGGGAGAGGGGGAGTTCGTGTGCAAGACATGCGGCCGGGCCTTCGCATCGTTCCACGCGCTGGGCGGGCACCGGACCAGCCATCTCCGCGGCGGCCACGGGCTGGAGCTCGGCGTCGGCGTCGCCAGGGCAATCAAGGAACGGAAGAAGCAGCGGCACGAATGCCACATCTGCGGGCTCGGGTTTGAGATGGGCCAGGCGCTGGGGGGACACATGAGGCGGCACCGCGAGGAGATGGCACTTAGCGGCGCAAACGACCGGAGGGTTGCGGTGCTGCCGGATCAGGAGGCGGGGCACCAGACCTCGGCCGCCGACGACCAGCCGCCGGTCTTGCTCGAGCTGTTTGTCTAGGCAGAGCTGGAAAGAAGGAAGATACATACGTTTTCTTTCCTTATATAATGCGTGCGTGAATAGACATGTAAATACTCATATAGGTTATTGGCCGATCTTGTAGTAATTACTAATTCATAGCTAGTACTAGCTTGTTAGAGTTTCGGTTATTGGAATTTTGCTTGGTCTGCATCGTTCATTCATTGGTCACTCGAAACAAAGAATCGATCTCTAAGGGACCACGTTTAAAAAAAAACTAAAGATAATAATTTTGTTCATTCGACCATCCCGCTCCTGCGAATGCAAACTCCCCGGCCGGCAGGGTGGTTATGTTTTACTATAGATTTTAGATCGAGCGAGAGAGCGGCGAGCTATATCAGCTGCTGCTTCCTAGACTCCTAGTACATGTCGTACGTAATGGCCACGGCATTGACTGATTAGGTACCTGCATATGGCCGTATCGTGTTGGTGTGGACGCGTACGTACATGTATACATTAGTGGGCATGCATGTTTCGCATGCAGCTGGCCAAATGGAAGTAAGCAAGCGAACCAACCCATGGTTGGATGGTTAGAAACAATGATATCTCCAGCTCACTAGGATTCAAGTCCTGATGTTCGCATTATTTTTAGATTTATTTCAAGATTTCCGGCGATGCGCTTTCAGTGGAAGGAGATGTTTCCGTCGACGACTAGGCTCCTACGGCGATTTCGTAAATTTCAAGATGACATGCCGACTCAGTCTCTTGGAGGTGCTCATAGGGATATAGTATGCATGTGTGCGTGTGTGCGTTCGTAGGGGTGAATGTATGCAGGTATGTATGACCGTTTGCGTCTGTACTGATGTTAAATAATGGTGAGAATAAGCAAACATGACGAATGGTATACTGTGGCTGTACGTTAAGCATGGGCCAACTGATGGCAAGTTGCAGATTCCCTTGAAAACATCTCTGACTATCGGGAAAACATCTCTGTCGCCCTTGGCACCACAACTAGTTTTTGAAGCTTCGAAACCTTGATGGCCGCAAGTACGGTGTTGAGGTTAGCATGGTAGAATGAAAATCATACATGAAGGTTGCACAATTCTATTCTTGTACCACGGAATATCCAATGCATTTGATTTATCCAATCACGAAAACTCTTCTTTCTCTGAACCACCTTCTGAGCTCTTTAAAGTCGTTGCTCCTCCCCGCAATTGTGATATGATGAAACGTAAAGTAGTTAGATGGGGTCTCGCTTACCAAGGTAGGAGGAGACCCAAGTCAAAACACATCAAGAGAACATGCTATCTAGTTGTTACGAAAGAGAATTTGGTATGGTAGGTTTCTTAGTCCCATCAAAGGTTTCCTCCTCTATTCCAAATTAGTTACGAGTTGCATTTTATCACTCCTTAGCCACCAACTTATAACTGAACTTTATATAGTTCCCACTAGTTAATCGATAAGGATAAGCAAGATTAATCGACTTGAGCACCGCCGCCAACTCCTCCACCTTCTACTCCATATCCAAGGATTGCAGCTGCTGACGCGTGGTGTATGTGGGTGTGGGTTTTTCGAGGTAATCCGGCAAATTTGATACCATATGTTGCGTTCCTCTTCTCAATCTAGTACAACGTTCCGATACAAAGGAAGGATCTGGGGTAGATCAGAGGAATTGGGGTAGGGACGAGGAAGAACTAGGGTCAGAGGAGGAGAAGGGGAAAGTGATACATCCAATAGCTCATGGATACCAACTCGATACATCCAATAGTTCATCGATACCCCCCACACGTTGGCCGCACGGCCCTATATTACATGTCCTGGGTCTCAAGGTCGAAGTGGAGATTGGGCCGTTTCTTCCTCTTGGGCTGGCCTGCTTCAGCTGCTTCACTGGTACTTGAGCCCGGCGTAGTACTTGTAGTCGTGACATTTGTTTCAAAAAAAAAAACTTGTAGTCGTGACATACTATCATATGCATATGATGCTAACTTATGATATTGCCCACTAAGGACAGCCTCACAACGGACTAGCCAAATAGACGGGCAGATACAAAGCTCTATGTCCTATGTGGCGTGTGCATCGTGCATGTGCGGCGACGTACGTCGATGATTACTTGCTCTCGCTCTCTGGGAAAGGGAACTTTTCCAAGTACACTAAATAGTACTCGCTCCGTCTTAAAATAAATGTGTCAACTTTAATATAACTTTGTACAAACTTGAGACATTTATTTTGTGACGGCGGGAGTATGTACTTACACCACTCCGCTAACAAAAAGTGATTGAACGAAAGCAGCGCCATAGTCGGTTTCGTTATCTTGTGCCCACGCAACGCCGATCCATCACAAAAACCCAACCAGAATCTTCCTGGTGCTGCTTCCGCGAGGCTGACCGCTTCCTGGTCCACGTCAACGTAACCCTGCAAGAAACCGCGACGCTGTTGCACATACTACATGCAGACATCGTCAGGTGCACTGCACATTGCGAAAGCGACGTGCTAGGCAATTTCCTCTCAGTCCCATTGACGGACTGTGTGTTGGGCACAGTGATGCTTCGATGCACATGATACAATCGGAGGTGCAGTAGCTGTTCATCAAGATTTTCTTAGCCAACAAGACTTGTATTTGTCACATGGGCATCAATTCACATTTCACTGCCAGTAAGAGCATCTTTAACAGTGCGCTAAAAAAATTTTGCACCGCGGAAATAGCGTTTTACTGCACGTAGGTGGGTGATTGCTTTACTAGAAGCTGCAAAATTTAGCGCGCCGCTATAGCGCTTCACCAGGCGCGGTAAAATCCAGCGCGCGGTCAGCCGGCGCTTGGAACTTTTTTGAAACAACACATAGAAAAAATATATGAAACAACACATAGTTCAAATTTCATAGCATAGTTCCCCGAATCAAAAGCCAGTTCATACGATGCTAAATAAAAATAGATAAAACGATGCTAAAATAAATTACTCCTCGTCCTCCTCGGTGGCGTAGTCCGACGACGTAAACGCGTCGAGCCAGTTAGGATCTTCATCGTCCCATGTTGACGCTAGTCCCAACTCGATCTGGGCTTCCGCCTGTTCCTTCCGAGCACGCTTGTCCGCCCGAGCACGACTCGCTCTGCCCTCCTCTGTGCCTCCAGGTCGGTCGCCTGTTTCACGCCCACGATGTCGGTCGCTTCCTCCTGCTCACCATGGTTGTAGGCGAAGCTTCTGGCACCGGCGGTCGAGCAGCGGTTGTCTGGCTTTGCCAGATCCCAGCGGCGGTCTGGGAAGATGAAGCGGCCGCCGGCGGCGCACCATGGATTCAGGCGGGATCTGGTGCCCCGATGCTCGCCGGAGCTGGAGCGGTGCTGCTCACCGTTGACCTGCCTCGCCTCCCTCTCCTTTGCCCGGTGGCAGTAGCACCCATGCCGTGTCATGAGGCGCATGAGACGTTGACCAGTGGCCCCTTGTTTTAGTTTAACGGCCAGGTCAACAGCGTCATGCTTTGTTTGCCAGGTCAACACTTACAGTGGGCATCATCCATCAGAAACTGTGCCAATATGCACTTACTGAGCGGTCAGTGTTTTCTGAAAACTGACACCACATGTTGACGTTTTTTGAAGAAGAAAAAAAAACTAACAATGATGGTCTTCTTTTTTTGAGCATCAGTAACACAAGCGCTTATATACACGCGCATATACTCATCCCTATGAACGCACACACGCACACCCTACCCCTATGAGCACCTCCGAAAGATTGAGCCGGCACATCATCTTGAAATTTACAAAGTCACCGTAGGCACCTCGTCGTCGACGGGAACGTCTCCTCCCACTGAAAACGCATCGCCGGAAATCCTGAAATAAATCCAAGAATAATGCGAGCACCAGGATTTAAACCCTGGTGGGTTGGGGATACCACTGTCCACCTAACCATCTCAACCACAGGTTGATTCGCTACGGGCGAGTCTTCACAATGCATGCATGTATGTATCTGAACTAGCAGTTTTGGACTGATTAGATATTGGGTATTTTTACAGGCAAGTTGTATGCAAACCATGTACTCACGCGGCAAGGTAATTACAAGCACTTGTTTTTAAGGGGCATACGGGTGATGGAGCATTTGGTTTACTTACTTAATATAGTCCCTCCGTTCACTTTTATAAGTCGTTTCAGACAACTGAAATTGAGCTGTTTTGCACGTTGTCTGAAATGTCTACAACGCCTTATAAAAGTGAACAGAGGGAGTAGAATCCAAGCTGCGCACTCGGTAAGTTCTAAATTACGCCGTGCGGACCGTGCGGTGTCATCACAAATACTAACATCCTAGTACTAGTTTACTTAGTGTGGAGTAGATTGATGATGTATATCGGTTGCTTCTCAGCCGAAGCAAACAAAATGGCGGTTCGTCTGCCAGACCCCACCAACTTGGCACCCAAGCTACCGCGTCGTAAACCTATATATAACTACGCCGCCCCGGCCGATCAACATTCCTTCTCCTCGCTTCTTCTTCTTTCTTTGCGGGGACATCTCTCACACGACACCAAGCTAAGCTGTGGAAGCCTACGAAGGACGGGAAATCGAGGGATCAAAATCCACAAGTGAATCCATGGGAGCTGGGATGAAGCGCGGGAGGAAGGAGGAGCCAACCGTGTCGTTGGCGTTGTCGCTGAGCCCGGACTCCTCGACGTCTTCCGTAACGTCGGCCGATTCGGGTGCCGGTGCGCAGGCCAAGCGCAAGCGGGGTGCCGTGGTGGCGACGTCGGGTGAGGGGGAGTTCGTGTGCAAGACTTGCGGGCGGGCCTTCCCGTCGTTCCAGGCGTTGGGCGGGCACCGGACCAGCCACCTCCGCGGCCGCCACGGGCTGGAGCTCGGCGTCGGCGTCGCCAGAGCCATCAAGGAACGGAAAAGGCGTGAGGAGAAACAACACGAGTGCCACATCTGCGGACTCGGCTTCGAGACGGGCCAGGCGCTCGGGGGGCACATGAGGCGGCACCGTGAGCAGATGGCACCGCGCGGCGCCGACGATCGCGGGGTCGCGCTGCTGCCGGATCAGGATGTGGCGGGGCATCATGCCGCCGCCGACCAGCCCCCGGTCTTGCTCGAGCTGTTCGTCTAGGCTGGAAAGCAGATACGCTTTGTTTTGTTTCCTAATGCGTGAATGGACGTGTACATATATAGGTTCGTTGGTCGATCTTGTATTACGAATTCATAGCTATAGCTAGCTTGTTAGAGTTTCGGTTATTGGAAATTTTGCTCGGTCTGGATCGTCGTTCATTCGTTGGTCACTCGAAATTAAGAAAACGACTTTTTGTTAATTCGACCATCCCGGCAGCTCCTGCGAATGCAATGATGTCATGAATCTCTTTAGCAATGATTCAATGAAACTTCCCGGCTGGCCGCGGTGGTTCCGTTTTAGCTCGTCGGCAGCGGCCACGGCATTGACTCATTATGTACACATACGGCCCCGTCGTGTTGGTGCGGACGCCCTGGTGCTACGTACGTACATATACACTGGATAGTGTTGTGGTTGTCTGCCTGGAGGTTGCGCGACAGCCGCCGGCGGTGGCGGTGGCCGGGAAGGTGCGGCTGGAGATTGATGGCTCGTGTCTGCGGGCTCTCGGTTGTGCTGGAGGTGGGAGTTGGTCTGCGTCCTCTTGTTGTGCGGATTGGTGATGGACCGCCGCGTTCTGCTACAACGACGAGGTGCTGCGGTGGCATCGATTTGATCCAACTTGGACGGTGTTGCCCCAATCCAATGGGCGGGGTTGGAGATGTGCGATGTTACGGACGAAGGTTCTCCCCCTCTTCGGTCGGTTCCGGTGGTGCCGGCGCCCGTGGGTGTCTTTTCCCTCCTTGGAGGCGTCACCGAGGTGGTGTCGGCATCTCCCCCCCTCGCATTGGTGTTGGTGGTTGTTGTCTCCAGGCGAAAGCCTAGGTTCGGTTTCGAATCAGCGATGATGACGTTCTTGACGTTGTACCTTTGTTGGGAACATTGTTAATGGAGACTCGGTGGGATGGTCCTTTTGCGGTCCTTCGGTCCTCGTTGCTGCCCTAGATGAAGCTTCAGGGGCGCCATGTACGCCATCATTGGTGTCCCAAGATGATGCCTTGCTCAAGACCAACCAAGTCCCGCCACCTACTCGCTATCTTCTTTTAGGCATTCATGGGTGAACGGTGCGTTGATTAGGAAAGTCTTGGTGGTGCGTTGTCTTCGTGGCGTCCGGTCTTGGTAGAGACGTGGCTTTGTCTTTCGGTTTAGGGTAGGCATCATGTGTTGTGGTTGTAATGTTTGTGGTGGCTTGTCTTCGCCTCTTCGGGGGCCTTGGTGTGGAGTTTGCACTACACTTGTTGTTCGCAATGAGTGTAATCTTCTTGTAACTTATTCCTGCCATCTATAAAAATATGATACGTCTAAACGTAATTTTTAAGAAAAAACATGCACAGCTGTCGCGTCAAAGAACGTTTGCAACAGAGAAAATAAAAGCAGTACTAGCTACGTTGCATCATGCATGAATGCAAGATGACGTCCTGTGTACATCATTTTCGCACTGGCGCCGCCACTGATTTTGTGTCCCAAGTGTGCGCAGTGAGAACACTTTACTTCTTGTTCTTGGATAGATATATGCTAGACAGGTTCGGACAAGTTTCGTTGTGCATGATCCAATAATTACATGAATGACGTCTCTATTCAAACTATATGCCTGAGTCTGGACAGTTGACGCGGTTAAGCTTGTCATTGGCCGCGTAAAAGCTAATGTCGACATGCCGACGTCCTGGGCATGCATGCATCCGAACTGGTCATAGACGCAGAGTCCTGACCCATGCATATATATCCAGGTTTAACGTTTTGGATTGGTTAGACGACAAGTATCTTTACAGGGGAAGTGTGAAATTACACTTTCTAGTCACACGGGATGGTAATACTACTACTACTACTACAATTATTTATTGGGAGAGACGGCAGAGTACGGCCGGTGTCATCATCGATCAGTGGACGATGAATCCATAGCATCCCATGCCGACAATTGCTCCAAGAACATCTGGACATAGATGTGTCTTACAATAAAACCTCCCATTTCTTTCTATTGAGATGAAAAAGAAGAAAAAGTGGATTTCTATTCACAGGCTGCAAAATTCAAAATAAATTGGAACCGTTAACTAGAATTCTCTTTTTTTTTATTGGCCGCTGAGGAAACACCGTCCGTTCACTGCCCATCTGTTGACAGAGACTATCTAGAATTAGAAGTACATCGACAGATACATCGCTTCTGGTCAGGGCGGTGCGCCGTGTGCGGCGATCGACGTCGGTGCATACGCGCTCCCTCCCATGGATATGGAACCTCTCCTCGCTACACATGCCTGGCTTCTCTCCCCCAAGTACCACTGATTAAACAAGTTCATCCACGAAGAACGAGTGATTAGACTAGACAACCGAAGCAGCACGTAATCGGTTACGTTAGCTTGCGCACATGCTGTAGATCCACTACAAAATCCCAAACCGAATGCATCTTGCTTCGTAGCTAGTGCTTGGTGACTAACATGCATGCGTCCTGCTTCCAGTTTTTGGTTTCGATAGGCCGGCGGCGGACCGCTTCATGGTCGTCCCCTGCAAGAAATTGCGACGCTGTTGCACATACTGACTCGCGATCGAGAGCGGCGCGCCAGGCAATTTCCGCTCGTCTCACGCAACCATTGTACTATTTCGAGTCTCCTGAGCACATGATTGGATTGGAGGTGCTTAGATTGGTCATCAAGCAAGAGTGTCTTAGCCAACAAGACTCACAGAGAAGCTCGCTTGATTTAACTTGCACCGACTAATTAAGAAGCTCGCTTGATTTAACTTGCACCGACTAATTAAGAAGCTCGCTTGATTTAACTTGCACCGACTAATTAAGAAGCGTGTGCAAACCTTGTGCTCGCTCCCAGGGTAGGGTATAGAGAATACGCTAAGGACACTCCTTTTTTTGCGGGTACACACATTTTATTTCAGGAGCACACGGACACGGCAGAGTGCTAGGATACAAACTCTGCATGCAGTGGCCAAATTACGCGGCACGGCGGTGCCACCATCGGTCAATCGAGAGTACAGCATTACGTTACTGCCGGAGGCATTACTCGGGTAAAACAGTGAGCTTAATTAACTGTCATATTGCAACACTATCTGCCCATGTGCTGACAGAGGCTGCACGTAGACCAATAGATACTCCTGTAGTCTAGATGCATGCGAGGCGACGTCGGTGCTTACGTGCTCTACCGAGCCCAGCGCAAATGCCTTTACCAAGTACTAGTACTGGTACTCCCTCCGTCCGAAAATACTTGTCATCAAAATGGATAAATAGAGATGTATCTAAAACTAAAATACGTCTAGATGCATCTTCTTTTATCCATTTTGATGACAAGTATTTCCAGACGGAGGGAGTACTAATTAAACAACTGCACCATGAAAAAGTAACCAAACAACTGAATGAATAGGCAGACGTAACGTAACTAAACGACTGAAGCAGCTCGTAATCCATTTGCTCTGTGCTACTTGTGCACATAATACATTTGCTTTGTGCTACTTGTGCACTGCAATCTGCATGCTTGGTCGCCGGTAGGCAGACTGTAACCTGCATCTTGCTTTAGGCCGTCGATAGGCGGACTGTTTCCTTGTCCAACACTGCATTGCCCAACAAGAAACATGCGTCATCAATCGCAATGCCAGTGTGACGCACTAGCCAGTTTCATCATCAACAGACTCTGCCTCAACCGTAAGCTTTGTTTACAATAAACTATTTCAAAGTATATGTTGGGCACAAAGATGTAAGCAAGATTTGCTTCGCCGCGAAGACATGGTAGTCTTCACATAGGCACCAATTCACATTCCACTGCCAACAGGTCGGTAGAGGTGTTCATACCAGCACAAGAGAGGGGAAATGGCTTCATAAACTCATATCGAGCTGATTCCCAACCAGCACATAAACCACTACCTCAGCACGGAATTTAGTCCAGCCCAAATCCCAGTAAATGGACAGAATGATCTCACTGCACCAAGGCCGTGACGCAGAATCTTCCAGTTCTACTCAAGTGTAACCAATTGGATGACAGTTCCAAAATGCTCTAGAAGATAACAAGCCATGTTACAAGGCCAAGACTTGAGATTTGAGATCGATTCCGTTGAATATGAATGTCCCATTCAGCGGCACAAACTGCTTGGTCACCAGCTGGAGAAGGGGTGTGGATACAGCACGATTAGTAAGGAACACGCGGGCACACACAAGATACTACCAACATGCTCCTGGTTGATAAATTTCAGCAAAGAAAGGATACCCTACCTTGATTACTTCCTGGGAGGCCACTCCGCCAATAAAGGCACCGACAGGGTGAATCTCTGCACCCGCAAACCGGCACACTTCAGTAACCAGGTCTTCAGACAAGGATGCTCCCTTCAAACCCATGTCACTCAGCACCGAGACAGCAGCCGCCTTCAGCCTAGGAACATCCTCAACAATTTCACTAGTGGACCCAATGCTTTATCAGTATTATAAAAACAGGATCAACATTAAAAGCACGATATCATAATTATCACCATAAGTGAATGCGCATTTTTTTCATGTACCTGTCGAATATTCCAGGTAATCTGCTATAGCTGGCAGCAAGCCGGTCAACAGCACGTAGCAGAACATAGAAGTTCATTGCGTAGCTGCATCAATAAAATTGCTTGTTATTAGAGAAGCTAACTGATTTAGAAAATACAAAAGGAATGCAAATAAACCAGAGGCTAACAACTCCAACATAAAGTCACACACAATTCAAAGCGCATGATCATGAGACATATACCCATGTGTGCACAAAACTTGCAATGCATTTTGCAATATGGCGTGCTGAAAGAACATTTACTTTTAACAAGAAATAAACTCATGCCGCTACGCTAGATAAACACAAGGTCCGCGTATTACAGTAGCTCCACAAAAAAATACTTTATTGCCTTGAAAAAAATGCTAATTCTACAGCATTATGAATTGGCTAGTTCTAGATTGACATATTATTTGTCAAAAAGATAACTAACAATGTTACAGAAATGGAGTAATAAATAGCATGGAATGTGGAACATGTATAATAATTTCCTGTGTTTAT